TAATTTGAAAGAATACAAAGAATTAATAACAGAACAGAGAAAATCAAGGAACAAAAAAATTCAAAAAAGGTAAAAAAGATTTTAAATACAAATCAGTTACGTTTTGAAAAGAGCATAAATAACCATCTTTCTGTCGAGCGTTATTTTTGCTTTCTTCTTAAGAACATCAAAAAAAATTTTAAAATAATTTAGTTTGTCTTCCGAATCATTCATCTGATAACACTTTCAAAGCTTCTTCAAGTTGAATACGTCTTATTTTTGAAACAATTTTTTTCAAAATTGACGACTGTAATTTTGTCGTATCCAGTGAACAATCCAAAAACAATAAGGTATTTTTTTTTCGATTTTTTTTTGTTTGGATGAGATATTCGTATATATCGAGTACAAGAGTGTTGTTTTTTTTCTGATTGAATCAGTGAAATCTTTGTATGTATTGGGATTTATAGTTTTTTTTCCGGGTATTTTGTATCCAAATTATGATGTATAACCAATGAAATTGTTTTTTTCTTTAGTTTAGTAGTTGTTTTTTTTGTTTGAATGCATACAATAATTTGTATCACATTAAGTTGATGTAACTAATCGATCATGAACTATATGTTGAATAAAACAATATTGAATATCAAAAGTGAGATGAAAATACAAAGTTATAAATACAAAGTGAGATTGAATATAAAGTTGTGAATACAAAAGAATTAAATATTCTCTTTATTTGAAATACAAATTGACTTTGAAAGGTAAAGTGGACACATAAAATACAAAACTTGTTGGTATACAATTAGGTTGAATACAAAACAAAAGAGAAATACAAACTTGTTCACATATAAATTGAGATTGAAATACAGAATGAATACCCAATAAAATACAAAATTGTTAGCATACAGTTAGGATGAATACAAATTAAGAAGGAAATACAAACATGTTGGTATACTAATTAAGATTGAAATACAATGTAAAAACAAAAAATGTAAAACTTTTTGATATATTAAAACGAAATTAGAAGAATATCGAAAAAAATTGTTTAATCGACTAAAAATTTGAAATACATAAATATTAGATGAATATGTAAACAACTAAACAACTAATCGAAACCAAATCAAAAGAAATCTAAACAACTAATCGAAACCATAAACGGTGATATTGAAAACAAGTAAAAAAAAATCTAAATAACTAATCGAAATACATAAATATTAGATGAATATGTAAACAAACTTGCATAAAAATCAAGAATAATGACGGAAAATCCGGAATATGAACAATGAGAAATATAAACCAGAAACAGTGATATTGAAAACAAATCAAAAGAAATCTAAATACCTAATTGAAATTATCTTTACCAAAATTGAAAATATTTGATGAATAACTAAACAAAATCACATAAAAATTGGAAAATTCGACTGAAAATCTGTAATGTATAGAATCGGTGATTTAAACATCAAATAAAAAAAATCAAAATGGATAATGGAAATTACCTTACCAATCGAGAAATCTACTTGAATTAATAAAGAGATTTCGTTTAACAATAAAGAAAATTTCTTGATGAACAACAGTTTATTACCTTGAAGAAAGATAAACTTGAAACGTGAAAGGTGGGGAAGAAACGTGAATGGTGATGAAAAAAGGTTAATGGTATTGGTTTAATTTTTATTTTTTTCACTTTTAAACGGTTATTGGTATATAATTTGGTCCAATATAGGACTCTTTCCATAAATAAAATTAATTTAAAATACTAAAATCTGAATACATATTATTTTATAAAATATTGTCATTCTGCCATTTTAAATAAATATTTTAAAGTGCTATTATTTTGACTAATTATGTTAGTTATTATGACTAAATTGCTAATTTTCCCTATTTTTTAATCTATAGAGTTTACACTTATCCTAAAATGACACAAGTCCATTCATCTACAGTCAATGAGGAATAACAAAAGCGAAATCTTGAAATAACGGTAAAACTATTTTTATGTGACTATAGTTTTGTGCACGAGTTCAAGCTATGAATTCAATTAACGGAAAAGGGTCATATTTGCCCTTGAACTCTTAGAAAAGAGTTATATTTACCCTTCGTCATACTTTTTTGATATATTTGCCCTTACCATCCAACTTAAGGTACATATTTGCCCTTATACAGTTAACTTATCATGTCACCATTTTTATTAATCTATGTGGCGCCTACATGGCTCCATGTGTATATACTTTTATTATAATAAAAAAATTATTTTCTATTTTGTATTATATCTGACCCATTTAGTAAACCTGACCCAACCAATGTGAAGACCCATTAATAAAATCCGACCCGACTAATGTGAAAATCCATCAACCCTAATTTCATTAACCATTAGCCCTAATTTTATACCCATCATCTTGATGTCACAATATTAGATGAACGCTTCATACAGTGAGAAAAGGCATTCATATCTTGATTGAGAGAGATCCAACAATATATAAGATTTCTATTCTTAAATCATCTCTTTAGCTTTTTTGTATGGTATTTGTTTCTGGAATCTTTCCAAAATCTGAACAAAAATTTCACAATGAATCATAACATCACAGTAAAATTCAAACTTAACGCACATTTAAGTTAAATAAATAGAATGAATAGCAAAATTCAAAAAAGGATACGCAATTTGTAGCCACGCTTATCCATTCTGCACCGCAAGTCGGAAAACAAAAAAGCATAAGATTAGAGCACCGACGTCAAAAGTCACCTTCCTTCGTCAACAGAGAGAAGAAAACTTCGATTGTGGATGACAGAGATGAGGAAGAAAGGAAGGAAGAGTGAGTGCAAAATCTACAGAGAAAGTTAGGAATCAAATTTTGTTGAAGAAAAGTGAAAAATTAGGGCTAATGGTTAATGAAATTAGAGCTAATGGATTTTCACATTAGTTGGGTCGGATTTTATTAATGGATCTTCACATTGGTTGGGTCAGGTTTTACAAATGGGTCAGATATAATACAAAATAGAAAATAATTTTTTTATTATAATAAAAGTATATACACATGGAGCCATGTAGGCGCCACATAGACTAATAAAAATGGTGCATAATAAGTTAACTGTATAAGGGCAAATATATATCCAAAATTGGATGGTAAGGGCAAATATATCAAAAAAGTATGACAAAAGGTAAATATGACCCTTTTCTAAGAGTTCAAGGGTAAATATGACCCTTTTCCATTCAATTAATGATGTTTATATCAATCATCAAGTAAATGATCTTCCTTGCATAAATTGGAATTGTCCACGGTCTTTACTCACATCTTGTATGAACATGGAAAGATTCATGCATCGAGCTGTTATTTTTTGTCAATAGGCGTTGTTTATAAGCACATTTATGATATACCATCCAATATATTTGCTGGCATTGAACTAGTTCTTGGAGTTTATATAAAACTTCAATGATTTCTGAAAGATTCTTAATATTAATGTTATACTAAGATACATTATATACTTTAACAGGTGGAGAAAGATGATTAGAAGGTAGAATTTTAAATTTAGCCTAACTTTGTTGAAAACTTAAAGACTCTTTACATATGCTTTCTTTTGTCATCTTCCCACTATGAATCGAGAATCATTATAAAATAAAAAAAAATCATTTTTAAGTATTTAATATTTTAGTAACCGATAATTACACTATTCTTTAGGGTTAAAAAATTTAAAGAGAAAAGGGTCTGAAATATATTCGAACTTTAACCGAAATTGTTGTTACGATACCAAACTTTGGAAAAGACCTTTTACCCCTGCACTATTTAATATATACCTTTAAAATATATATACTTTTAAAATACACTATTAAATAATTCAGGAGGTAAAAAATACACTATTAAACAGCAATTTCAACCAAAATTAAAATATTTTTCAGATCTTTTTCCAAATTTATATTAGTGCATTAAAGTTAAATCATGTTCCTATTTGGAGTAAGAATATTATAGATCAAACAACACAAAATCAAGAATCTTTTCTGAGTAATAACATAGCCATTAATTATTATTTTTCAATTAATAACACCTGCAAAAATTTCGATTGCCGGCCTTCTCTGTTCTTACAAAAAAAAAACATTTTTTTCTTCACATAAATTTAGTTATGGCATCAGTATTGAACCCTTTAACTTGTTATACAACATGAGTAAAGCTATAATTTTTATGATTTTTACTATGTCTATGAATATGATTAAAGCTGAAACTTGCAAATCCATTGATAAGGGTCCTGTTTTTTATGTCTTTTAACATTCTAAATTGCTAATTATTGTTGTATGATTTGTAATATCTTTTACGCAATTTTGAAATAATAAAGGTTATTTCTTCTTTCTCAATTTATGTGGTACTAATAAAATTTCAAGATTCAATCAAATTTTTTTGTCTTTAAAATATTCTATTGTTAATTACTGTAAATTATTGTACTTTCTAAGTAATTTTCAAATAATATATATTATTTCATTTGTCCAATTTATGTGTCACCGATAAAATTTGAAGAGTTATTATATATAGAATATTTATTAATAAATATATATAGAAATGACATATTTATTATTTAACTATGTAACTAAAAATCTTGTTAGTTTTTGGTTGAAAGCTAACAAGATAGTTACAATCATAGTTGCATTATTAATAAATATATATAGAAATGACATATTTATTATTTAACTATGTAACTAAAAATCTTGTTAGTTTTTGGTTGAAAGCTAACAAGATAGTTACAATCATAGTTGCATTATTAATAAATATATATAGAAATGACATATTTATTATTTAACTATGTAACTAAAAATCTTGTTAGCTTTTGGTTGAAAGCTAACAAGATAGTTACAATCATAGTTGCATTATTAATAAATATATATAGAAATGACATATTTATTATTTAACTATGTAACTAAAAATCTTGTTAGCTTTTGGTTGAAAGCTAACAAGATAGTTACAATCATAGTTGCATTGTGGCTTATTATATATAGAATACTTGAGATGTTCCTTTTTGACTTGTAAGTAATCTTTTCTTTGTTCTATACTCAAATTAACTAGTTGAACAACATCAGTCTCATCCTTAAGTGTTTTGTATGAAGTGATGATGCTTGCAACGTCGCATACTGCGATACTTCCTGGAGTTTGTGTCCTTCTAATAGTTCTCTTTTTCTATGAGAAAGTTTTATGCATTAAACATATTTGTTGTAATGCAGGGGTTTGTTAGCAGGCAAAATGTATGAAACTGCAAAAGGGATTGTGACTAATCTGGTTTCTCTGATAGATCAATTTGGTTATGTTCTTAACGGTGCAAGAGCATACTACAGTAACAGAAGGCAAGCATTCTTACACATTGATTCATAAAACTTACAGCTTTTAAGATGCTTTAACTTGTATGTATTGCCTTTATGCAAAAGTTTCGGATTTTGGGGGCATTTCAAAAACCAACTTTGAATGGTGAAATTTTTCTGTTTATAGAACCAATAGAACGTGCAAGCCAGTTTAACTACTGAATTTGACCCTAATTGAATCACACACATAAAATATTGCAGAAGGTGGTAATAACTAAGAACACACCTAAGGGTGTAGCCTAGTGGTCAATAAAATGTGTTGAAAACCTGAGGTCTTTGGTATAAATCTCAAGAGGCAAAAACTCTAGATGATTTTTTCCATCTGTCCAAGCCTTGGTGGATAGAGTTATCGGTATCTATGCTGGTGGGACGTAGCAAGTACTTGGTGGAATTAGTCGAGCTGCGCGCAAGCTACCATTATTATTCAAAAAAGAAGAATTTGCAGAGGGAGTAATTTTATCTCTTTCATATCTTAACTATTTTTCTGGAAAATCAGGATGTCCTCTTGTATTTCGGTCTTTTTTTTACTGCAAGTTGTGCTCTCCCTAGTATTTCTGTTGTTTTTTTAAGGGGTGAGGGTGGGGTGTGGTTAGTGGCTAGAAAAACCTTACTAGGACTGACTGTATGTAAGTTACTGTTATATGAGAAATCCAGTGTCATCTATTTTCTCTTTTCATGCTATGCAAATTCTTATTGTATCTTATGTTTCACATGTTCAGTCAGCCTCCTGTCCTGGCCACGATGATTGTTGACATATTCAATCAGACAGGTGATTTAAATTTGGTTAGAAGATCCCTTCCTGCTTTGCTCAAGGAGAATCATTTTTGGAATTCAGGTACTATCTTGTTTTTTATCGGTTCCTATTAAATAGTCTGATGCCTTTCTTGTGAATTTACTATAGTTTTTAGGCTTTGTTATGGTTCTTCTGGCTGAATTGCTTTTTGTTGGAAGCCTACGGGGAAGACTTTACTCATTTGTCATTGTCCACTTATTTGTTTGTTTAAGGAATACATAAGGTGACTATTCAAGATGCTCAGGGATCAAACCACAGCTTGAGTCGGTACTATGCTATGTGGAATAAGCCCCGTCCAGAATCGTCAACTATAGTAAGGCTCCGCAACTCATATTCCTGACTTGGTTTTATCATGACCGTTGTACAAGTGTAAATTACAGGTTCTTCTTTTACTTTTTAATTGATATAGGACAGTAAAACAGCTTCCGTACTCCCAAATATATGTGAAAAAAGAGAATTATACCGTGAACTGGCATCAGCAGCTGAAAGTGGATGGGATTTCAGTTCAAGATGGATGAGGTATCACATTTCAGAAATTACAAAGCAGTGTTATCGTTCATTTATTCTCATTATAGTTTGATAATACAAAGAATGACTGGTTTTAACTTCTATTGCAGCAACGGATCTGATCTGACAACAACTAGTACAACATCAATTCTACCAGTTGATTTGAATGCATTCCTTCTGAAGGTAATTTGTAGAATCTCTGAAAATTATGCCTTAGAAATGGGAACTTGCATATAACCTGGCTTTTAAATTTGTCTAATAGATGGAACTTGACATAGCCTTTCTAGCAAATCTTGTTGGAGAAAGTAGCACGGCTTCACATTTCACAGAAGCTGCTCAAAATAGACAGAAGGCTATAAACTGTATCTTTTGGAACGCAGAGATGGGGCAATGGCTTGATTACTGGCTTACCAACAGCGACACATCTGAGGTGGTATATCTTGCATCAAGTCTTGTGCATGTCTTCTCACTTTGAAAAACTAAAGCATTCTAAGTTTTGTTTCGTTTATTTGTGATTTTAGGATATTTATAAATGGGAAGATTTGCACCAGAACAAGAAGTCATTTGCCTCTAATTTTGTTCCGCTGTGGACTGAAAATTCTTGTTCAGGTTTGCATCTATCTGTAATACTGTTTCCTCTGTACTCTCCCATTCTCTGTGGAATTGTAGGACTTTGTATGTCAAACCGAGCTCCAACCATCTGAACGATACATTTACAAAGCTAATACCTATAACATTCAGAAAGAAAGGAAGAAACTGAACTTAAAACACATGCAAAGCTTATCACCGCTCATCGGGTAATTCTAATAGAGTTAGTTGCCCTCGTAAAACTGCTAAAATTTTGACCCTGGACTTGTTTGGACTGTCCATGATGTTCTTATTAGTTTTTCAAGAAATAAGCCAATGTCTTGTCTTGTTTTGGTCCCAAAATCAGTAGACTTTCTAAGTGATATTTATCGATATAGACATCACTACTTGAGCATATAATGATGTTTTTGCTTTGTTATGATTGAAGATAATAATATCACAACTCAGAAAGTAGTTCAAAGTCTCATGAGCTCGGGCTTACTTCAGCCTGCAGGGATTGCAATGACCTTGTCTAATACTGGACAGCAATGGTACGTTGCTTATCTTAACTCTCACTGAAATAAAGGAAAGAATTCATGATACTACAGTGCCTTTCAATCTTTGATCTCTCATATTTGTCTACAACAGGGATTTTCCGAATGGTTGGCCCCCCCTTCAACACATAATCATTGAAGGTCTCTTAAGGTCCGGACTAGAAGAGGCAAGAACCTTAGCAAAAGACATTGCTATTCGCTGGTTAAGAACTAACTATGTGACTTACAAGAAAACCGGTGCTATGCATGAAAAATATGATGTCACAAAATGTGGAGCATATGGAGGTGGTGGTGAATATATGTCCCAAGTAAGTGCATGACGCAATTTTGGCACCTGAAATATATTAGTTAACAAATATTTTGATTAATCTCCTTGGAAAAGCAAATGGCTTGTTTCATTAACAAATTATTTTTCATCTACATTTATACACAGTTCTAGCCTCTTGCAGAAATGCAGAGTAAGGCTGCCTACAATAGACCATTGTGATCCAGCCCTTCCTCGGACCCCGTGCATAGCATAATCTTAGTGCACCGGACTGCCCTTTTTAACATTTACACACAATTCTAACAGTTTGTTGTACTAGAGCTCTCCCTGTTCAAGGAGAAATATTAGTTGTCAAAGTGACTAGTTGCCAAGTGATATAGATAACATTTGCATACTCAAAACTTTTGGTTTCACTAATATGTTATGTTATAGCTATGTTACAAGGTTTTACGTATACTTTGAATCGTACTATAAAAACATTCTACTCTCGAAAATCCAGAAAGTTTTGAGATGTAATCCTAGTTGGACAAGTGTTACTGAACTCGGGAACAGAGCTATAGTTCTACTTGCGGGTTTGGCAAAACCCAATAGCTTTGGTTCAGACCCTATATTATCCAGAACTCATTAAGTTGTCTTTTAATGAATCCAGGACCTATAAACTCAAAATTCTGCCTTCGGCTCTGACTGTACTAGACATCATATTGAGCACACTAAATCCATGTTTCTTTTAAAATGACTAATACTTGTGTCTGAATGCAGACGGGTTTCGGATGGTCAAATGGCGTTGTACTGGCACTTCTAGAGGAATTTGGATGGCCTGAAGATTTGAAGATTGACTGCTAATGAGCAAGTAGAATAGCCAAATGAAACATCATTGAGTTTTATTTTCTTCTTCTGTTAAAATAAGCTGCAGTGGTTTGCTGATAGTTCATGTTTGTATTATTTCATAAGGTTTTTGTACCATATCAAGTGATATTACCATGAACTATGTTGTTCGGACTCTTAAAAAACCGTCAAGCGTGTATCGGATTTTGCAAAAATAGTGCATTTTTGGAGAATTCGATAACATAGACCATGTATGGATCTAAATTGTAAACAGCTTACTATATTAAGTAAAAGTAAGATGATTCCTCTGCTTTAATAAATGAACATAAGTTATTCTTATGACCCTTTAGTCTTTTAAACTTCCGCAGTATGTTTCTCTCTACCTGCACGAGGTAAGGTAAGGATGCATATACATTATTGGAGACTAAATTACTAAATACGAAAATCTTTAAAATTCAGATATATCCGGCATAATTTGGAATATACAGACTCAATTTTTTTTTATAGAGTTTCAATTTTATGAGTTCGAACCAAATTTTTACATAGTTTGAATTCACTAAGTTCAAATCCCACTATTTACCCTTTTTATCTAAATTGAAATGGTTTAAATAATTTCTTGAAATGACCCATGTTTTTCCTCATTAACCAAATTTCATGTGGTTTTTCTTTACCAGAAATTTTTCCAAATTAGTTCATTTGTCATATCTCCAACTAACTAAAGTAAAAAAAAAAAAGGTTAGTTAAAAAAGAAAAATACAAAATCAAGGAGTTTGATGATTAAATTGCTTTTTACCCAAAGCATAGTAATAAAATCATGAAAACTTCCCCACTACTTAATTTACAGGTGAAATAATTAAAACAAAAAAAAAAAGTAAAAACAGATTAGACAATTCAGCAAAGGAGTCATCATATAACTTTCTGGTAGGCAATTTAAACAATAATGTGATAAAATAAAGGAAATATTATTAAATGAATTTCAAAATTTATAGCTTCAAATTCTTCAAAAGAAGAAAAAAAGGAAATTTGCTTTAACTTGGCCCTCATATTGAAATTAAGATAAAGTGAATAACTTGCTTTTTTTTATGTTCTTATTTACTTCCTCCGTTTCATATTAGTTGTCTTTATTTGTCGACATCACTAAAATATTCCTCCCAAAATAATTGTCAATTTACAAAATCAATATAGAATTAATTTTGAAATTTTTTGTTTTGCCTTTAAAATTACATCGAAAGAGTTGAGGAAAATTTTGTAAAAAATATTTTTTATTTATAATTTCTTAAAGAACGAGTAAAAGAAAAATACGACAACTAACATGAAACAAAGAAAGTATTAATTTGCTTTTTCTCCTTTTTTTTTGGTTGACTTGCTTAAAAGAAAAAGGGAAATGTTAATCCTCCTTTTACATTGGAAATTGGCCATGGCATTATATTGATGCCAACCTAACACTAAAGTCTTGTCATAGAGAAAATAATTTAGTGACAGCTCAATCCACTAAACCAATATAATTTTCTTATAAATCAAACAGCTATATACATGATATATCCCCACGAGCATAGTGTAAAAAATAATAATCATGGTTTGGTTAAATCAAATCAATGTTTTTGTATTGTTGATTTCATTGATCCCTTGATTGGGTACAAAGAACTAGTCATTAACAGTGATGTTAATGTAGTGGCAAGGTTCAATCACAAGTTTTAGAATCGAATAAAATTAAATACTACCTAACAAATTTCTTTTTCGCGATTATTCTAATGTCTTATGTGAAGGTGAATTTAAGAAAATTATTTTATTTGAGAATCTTTGAATCTTTACTTATTTTCAATTATCCGAAGTATTTCGTTGATTACTATACCCTTTTTAGTTTTTGAATGCTTATGTATCTAGCTATTATAATTCGCTCCTCCTTCACTTTTAAAGTTATGTCATTATAAGGTTATGTTAAATCATAAATGAATGATCTTATCAACGTTAGAATAATAAAGTAAAAATAAAGTTAAATACAAAGCAAACTCTTTTTCACCTTTTCTAATGTCCTAGGTGAAGACATCTTAGAAGGTTGTTTTATTCGAAAATCTTTGAATCTAAATTTATTTTCAATTCTATGAAGTATTTATTGATTACTATACGCTTTTTTAATCTTTGAATACCTAAGTATCTTCACACGACTTTATCTCTTTGAAGAAGGACAAACTCTTCTTTATATACACAATTTTATGTATGAAACATAATGACTTTTTCTCTTTTCCTTTCTTATCATAAGATACTAGCTAGAGTCGATTGAATGACAAATGTTTACTTTCAAAGCGAAGATGATTATAATTTATATGTCCTTCACCCTTCACTTTTAAAAAAAGTGATCTTAAATGGATCTCATCAATGTTCATAAAATAATAAATTATACATTTGATCTTTTAACTTAAAACGTACGATATTTAAAATTTTGAATCTGTCACTGTCCAATACTAACATTTCTTTAAATAATAAGCACTAATTAAAGACATTTTAGTTAAGGATTAGGGAACTGTTCCAAAGACAATGGAGCTAGTTGCCTCCTTTTTTTTTGTCCAACATTAGTAGAATGAATTGAAAAAAGGTTAATAATTAAATTAAGTTAATTAATCTTTATGCTAAAATTAATTGTGGATTGCAATACGTAAGAGATGATCTCAGCAGATACATGCATAATTTTATGTTAGTGGTAGGGCAATTGATTATATAAATAATGATTATTCACTTTAACCAACACTTAAAAAGCCTAATTTTTTGGAGATTAGCATTAAAAGATACTGAACATGTTTGTTTAGGTACTAAATGATATGAACTTAATATTATAAATATTCTTTTAATTTTTACCCAATCAGCAGTTAGCACCCACAGAATTGGAGGGTTGGGTTTGGTAATCTCTGAGCATTATGTTGATTTTTTGAGATTAAGCTATTTAATTAGTGACTTTATGACTAGATAAACCAAATTGCTTTTTTTTTTTTTTACATTTTCATTTCTTTAATCAACTCTTCCTTCTTTTTGTTTTGTTTTATGTGCTTGCTTGATTTACTTAATAGTTTATTTATATTGCCTTTCAAATTAGATTTAAGGGATAAATAACACTTAGTAATTGGTATATTTTGTTTTCAATCCTTGTGATTTTTTATTCGACAATATATTTAACGTTTAATTAATTAAAATATGTGTTTTGGTCTTTTTGAGTAAAAAAAAAGTTATATTTGACTTTATAGAATGATAGTATTAACGAATATGAAGTAAAATTTAAAGTTTAACATAACACAGGAGGATGGAACGATTAATATTTCAGATAAAGTTGTGAATAATACAAGCAAATGGGCTAAAAGTGCTTACTTCATAAAATTGAAGGTTTAATATGCTTAGTCAGATATTATAATGATTATAATAAGAATTTATCAATAATAGAGGGCCAACAAATAATATATCAATCTTAGATTTAATTAAAAGGCATTATTGTCATAGGAAATATATAGTTGGTTTAGTAATTTTGGCTTCTTGTTCCTTTTGTTTTTATCTTAATGAAGTTAGATTACAAGAAATAGTAGTTTAATTATTATAATTAATTAAAACTAGTATTTCCTAGAAAGTAGACAAATGATATAAGTATAATAGAGGCTTAATTCATAAGAAAATCAAAGGATGATTAATTTATATATCCTTCAATAATTTGCATAACTAAAAGGGCATAATTTATCATCATGGAAAGGTGGTTGTGGATGCAATATAGTAGATTAGTCAAATCAAAGGATGATTATTATAATTGAAAAAAAAAGATAGAAAGATTCCAAAAATTAAAACCTTAGTTTAATTTTTTATTTTTTAAAAAAACTAATTAATTTCAAAGAAGGGTACAATGCAAGATCTGGGGTTCCCACATAAAAATAGTGGCAATGATTGAAGTATGGTAGTATTGAATGGCTCCATTTTGTGTTGCTTTCATTTTAAAATACAACTTTTTAATTTGAAATTTCAGATTTTGTGGATTTATATATAAAAAGTTAGTGGAAAAACTATGAAAATTGTCCATTAGCATATGGAGTGGAGTCCTATATATTTATTTATTTTATTAATCCGAAGTTTATTTCCTCAATATATGCATGCAGTCAACTATTTGAGGCTCTTTGCATATTTAAGTTGAGCTAGGTTGAAGCATGTTCTCTTTAAATGGTGACTCAACTTTTGTTTGGACATGCGATTTGGATCATAATTTTCAAATTCTCTCCAAAGATATGATTCGGGATCCCAAACGTGCATTCAATATTTTTTTAATCTATAAGTTTATCTTTTATTTTAAAAAAAAGATCCATTATTTTAATTTTGAAGAAAAAAAAAACTGATGCTCAATGTAAAAAGATTGCTTGTACCATGTGAAAGAATTATAGTAAAAAATAACTAGTTACTACTGTTATTGAGTAGTGAATCTTTACAAAATTATATGAATTTGAAAACCTTTAATCACAAATAGTTATTTAGAAAAGAAATATAGATATATATATATACACATATTATAAATGAACTATGTTGTTCGGAATATCCTGAAACTTTTTTTTCTTGATCAAATTGATACTATAAATGATACACCGCTACTTATTTTATTGAATATACATTAAACATATCAATATTGATTGTTTAGAATTGATGTTTGGGTTAACTTGTACATATCTTGATTAATTTAATTATAATGTGTTTGCTATTTCATATTACACAATACTTGAATAACTCTACTCATTAAAATTTTAAAATATATGAAAACAAATCAACTAGGGGTGGAGTATTTGTTATTGTGGGAACATTCTAAAAGAAAACATGCATAATTACTCAACCCATTGGATTCCCCAATATTTTCTTTCTTCCTGTCCCAATTAAGCAGTACATTGCATGGCTTTCAATGCAAGTCAAAGGGGGGAATGAGGCATTAAAATAGATTCATCAAACCCAATGTTCAATTTCAAACACAATTAATGTAGAAATAATAAAATGTATATAGTATATAGTAGCTCGTTAGGCGTTAAACTTTTAAATGAGTGAGGTGATGATTCAAAAGAGCATCTGACTAATGTGAATTTGTATTATAAAGATCCTATTAAAAAATAAACGTTGTCTATTCAGAATTTAAATTTTAAAAAAATAACTGAATCAAATTCTTTAGTGGTAAAAAATGACATTTATAAACACACTAAAGAAGAAGCAACATCTTCAAAGCTAAGAATTGCCTCAATTACTTAATCTTTAAAAATAAGCATATTTTTATGCATCCACATACATATGACTTATGAGTTGGTCCAGCTTTGAGAGTTGAACAA